ACCCCCGCATATCCCCTACTTACCGCTCCGGCGGGGGTCAGGGAAGCTGGTGGCGAGGCTTTCCAGGCGTCCCCTGAGCCGCAGCACTCCCGCGTGGGCCTGGGAGATGTGGCAACAAGGCTCTCCTGGCGTCCCCCAAGCCGCAGTGCTCCCGCACAGGCCCAGAGATGCAGCGACGGGGCTCTCCCGGCGTCCCCCAAGCCACAGCGCTCCCATGCAGGCTGGGAAACTATTGTGTAGTGGGAGCCGCATGGATCGACGACAGACGACGTGGTGCATAGCACGCTTTATTAGGCACACAACAAGACAAAGAAACAAACGGCCGGCAGGCCAACTATATACACACCTGGGGACCACCCCTTGGTCACCATTGGTGGGTTTGAATCTCCCGCCATGGCTCCCATTGGTTCCCCAGTGGAGGGACTAGGATCCTAGTCCCCATTGTCTTCCCAGACTGAAGCTCGGGTATATGCCAGATTAGAGTCCATGCACTTAACCACTACACCACTACACCAAACTGAAGAGGAAAGCAAGGTATGATTAATGGCACTAGCACCATAGGAATTTAAGGTATAATATCTTTTAGAGCTATCATATTCTGAACCATGAAGGCTATACAACCCAAATCTACAAGCCAGATTTAAAAGAAGGACACCACTTTTGTTCAGGGTTACGTCTAAAGAGGACCATAGGAGATAACAGTGGTCCCCTATATAAATTTGTTCTCTCTTGATAAAGCTATTAATGTCTTGACCAATTCTGGCATCAAAATCACCAGGAAGGAGAATATCAACATTTACGTAGAACTCCTCAGCTTTCGCCAACACACTCTGGAGAGAATCCCAAGTTTGGTTCCATACCATACTGTGTTTACATAATGGCATATACATACATAGACCTTTATTGGCATAACACAGCAGCAAAGACAACAATGAAACAAATAGAAAATAAATAGCACGAAGTAATAGATTATAACAATTTACACCATGCTGCACCAACAAGGAATCATTGATAGAAAGAAGATGACACAAGCATTTGCTAGAAATTAAAGTGGCCTGAAACTTTAATACTTCAAATACTTTGGCCACCAAATGAGAAGGGAGCACTCACTGGAGAAGACCCTGATGCTGGGAAAGATTGAAGGTCAAAGAAGACGGGGACGGCAAAGGATGAGATGGAAAGTGGCCTGAAGGTGATTGCTATCCGAACAGAGTAATGACTGAGAATCTGCCTCTAGGGCCTTTGAGATGACCGTCACTAGACTGTCACTTGGCCTTCCACATGGACCAGATTTGGTAGCTGGTATTACAAAAGGTTGAAAACCATACAGGGAGGGTGGTGAAGAATCCAGACACCAAGTTTCTTAGAGAAAAATGAAATCAAAGTGTCTTAGATACTGTTCAAAGCTGTTATCCATTAATTTAGAATACCAGCCTGCTATGTTCCAAGAAACCACTTTAAAACTCCTGGGAGCTTTCAGTAGTCAGTTGTTGGAGCTAAGGAAAGCTGGAGCAGACGTTGGGTTCATGGACTCTTTATTCAAGGAATATGCAGATGGTAAAGAATGAACTGGCATCTGGCATTCTTTTTTTTTTTTAGCCCCCCCAAAGGGGAATTTTTATTTGCATTTTTATAAAACTACAACAGAAATTGGGAAGGGAAAATTCTACAATCTAAAGTAAAAAGTAAAAAGAACCTAACTAAAAACCCAAGTGTGGAGGTTTTACAATGCTTAAAACATGGTTATTATACTTATTCAGTTACTTTCAAGCATAAAGAGTGCCCGCCAATCATCACTTCTGTTGGCGGGCCACTTTAACTTACCTAGACAGAAAGTAATTCTAAAGCTAGAACACACATAAACACAGTCCTTAAGAAAAATTGGCATCTCCTTTTACGCTTTACTCCCCCCCCATAGGCAAAATCTTTAAAACCAATGTTCCCTCAGTAAGAGCATTACAACAATTTATCTTCTTCCGTCTTAGATGTTGCAGGCTATCATAAATCACTGCGAGCCTCTCCTGCTCTCCTCCTCGCCAGAGTCCAGATCTGTCCATTCATGATATAAACCAAGTTCCTTTTTCCAGGGACATCTTCGCTTCCTTAAACGTCTTGAATCAAAAGAGTCTTTCCTTTTGTTGCGTTTAAAGCACGCTTATTGGAGAATCCAACCTTTCTCTTAGCAAGCAGATCTTGTGAAATTGGGGTAGCGATCCCTTTACTCCAAAAAACCGCTTTTCGAGGCATCTAGCATTCTTGTATGTTCATACGATCATGCCCCTCTAGTGGGGCTGAGGTTGTCTTGTTCTCTAGATTGTTAGAAGGGTCTTCAGTTATCATGATTAACTCAGGAGTATCTGCTGGCATGACCAGATTAGAAAATCAGCTCCCCTTGCATATTTTAACTAGCAACTAACTTCAGGCATGAGATCTCCCGCTTCATTAACATCATTTCTCTGTTTAGTCTCCCTGTTCTTATCGTCACCCATTATCATGTTATCCTCTAATGTCTCTCCTTTTAGAGATGCTTGGTTAACTCAAATTAAGTTTCTGTAAACGTCTCCCAATCTGGAAATTATGGCTGACTGATCTTCTTCTATAGGGAGGAATGCAAAATTTTGTAGCACTTTTTCCCTCCATATTTTCAAGCCAATCATTGTCCTCTTCAATGCATGGCCTCTCAGGATCTGTCCATGGAGTTAAATTGGCATCTTCTTTGATGATATGTCCTTGGGGGTGATTGGCCTCTGTCATTACCATCATCCTAGCTTGAGGTTCACTCCCCTCCTGTTTGCATTGGTTTAGATGTCTAGTAAGAAGAGGGCTCTTGAAACTATCCACAAACATGTGAGTAGGGAAGATTCCTTTGTGTCTCAGAACATTACTATGAGTAATAATCCCATTAAAGGTAAAGGTAAAGGTTCCCTTGCTCGAAAGCCAGTCAAATCCGACTCTAGGGTTGCGGTGCTCATCTCCGTTTCAAAGCCGAAGAGCCAGTGCTGTCCGAAGATGTTTCCGTGGTCATCTGGCCGGCATGACTAAATACCAAGGCGCACGGAATGCTGTTACCTTCCCACTGAAGTGGTACCTATTTATCTACCTGCAATTTCTTGCTTTCGAACTGCTAGGTTGGCAGGAGCTGGAACTAGAGACGGGAGCTCACTCCGTCATGCGGCACCCGGGGCTTGAACTGCTGAACTACCGACCTTCCACAGCCTGCAGTTCAGTGTCTTAACCACTTGAGCCTCCGCAGCTCCAATAATCTCATTAGGGATCCTCAAACTGCTGAAAGTAAGAATAACTCTGTGTACTTGATTATCATTAGTAATATCCTCTATCCTTTCCAGATCTATATTCCATTTCCTGATTCTCAGTAAATAACATAAATGCTCTAGTACTTTGTATCTGGAGTTTCATAAATGTGATCTTCCTCTCTATTTGCAAACAGTCAAGGCAATCTTATTGGGTTGCAGGATCAGATGTTGTTCCTCAATATCTGTAATCAGAGTATACCTGCAGGGGGAGCTCTTCAGTCCACCTCCTCCAGCTAGTGCTCTGTTCGAATGTAGTCTTTTTTGGGTTATTTAAATTAGATTTTGGCTGATTATCCTCCCTATTTCCTAAGATTGTCCTGTTCAGTCTCTCAAGTTGGTTTCCCATTTCAGACAGCTTGGTGAATACAAAGGCCACAGTTTGGGCTATCAGTTCAGTCATCTTAGTTGTTAAATCACCAACTGGTTCATCTGTTTCGTTCAGTTTGTGGTTGCTACTTCCACTCTCACTGTTGATCCCAATGGCAGCTGCCTCATCCTCATCCTCTTCTCCTTCCTCTCTTGCTTATTAGAATCATAGAGTTGGGAGGGGCCATACAGACCATCTAGTCCAACCCCCTGCCCAATGGAGGACCAGCCTAATTATGTGTGCTTTAATTTGTTAGCTGCCTTAATGGCCCTTGTGAGGGCAGAAAGGTGGGGGATAAATTCTGTAAATAAATAAATACTTTTCTGATCATATTTTTTAGTCTGTGGTGAGTTGCCATTTGCAATATAAGCTCAATACACCAAAATAGCAAAGCTGCATGGCCTTAGCTTGGCTGATATCAAATGCATATAATTAACAGGTTTCAAAAGAGGAGCAATGTAGTCCTGTTTACACTACAAATTCTTCTCAGCTGTAAAACATTTTCCAAGCTCAGATATAATTATTGACACTGTTTCAAAAACTTTGAAAGCAAAAGCTTGTTTCTAGATACATTGTTTAAAGTGCTGATAGCACATAGTGGATTTGAGTTTCACAGATGGCTGAAAGTTGTGAAAAGAATCAGCGACACTGGGGAAAAAGGCAGACCCTATATTTTTCAGGCAAGTTTGCACACCTCTAGGTTCACCTGTGCAGCTTCTATCATAGAGTAAAGGTTGGTGGTAGCATAGAAGAAACGTGGGCTCATCACAGAATGGTCTAATTCTGACCGGGGGGATTTGGGAGAGTACAGTGGGTATAGTTACATACGAATGGCAGAATTTGGGCCAGGATGTTAAGACATAGTTACAGGGCAAGGAGGTGGGTATGGGAATAGAGGAATGGAGTTAGTTAATGATACACAAAAGCTATCCCAGGGAAGGATATGTCACCTATCTACTGATAGATCCCTGTTCTGACATTACATTTGTCAAAACCTAATCCTAGCTATATTACTGGTGTCAAACAGTAAATTCATTCACACTGTTAAGAATGAAGAGGCCCTCAGAGCATTACAGAAAGGGATCCAGGAGAGCAGAAGGGAAGAAGGATGTCACAATACAGACAGAAATGGTACAGCTTGTCAATAAACATTAATAGAGGAGTTACATGGCACATTGAGCACTTGAGATTCTACTGCGGAAGTATAACATTTTATAGCATACATAGTGTACGTGGAAGCCTGTTATTAGATTGGTTCTTCGCACTTCACTGCAGGATGACATCAATCATACTTGCTCTACAGGGACTCTGTTACTCACCTGACACTATGGTGTATCCAATACCTCTCGGCCGTCCTTTGTCCTGATCAATTGCAGTTATCATACGTACAGTTGTACCCTGAGGACCAAAAAGGAAGGAAAAGGGAGGATTTGAATATTCCAGGCACTGCTAAATTTCCCAACTGTACTTCCTCTTGTGTATTATGTTGGATTAAATAACAAATCTAGAACCTGTGGAAAAAGGAATAGCCACCAGTACACTTTTGAAATGTTGAAATTTATTTAATTGTGGGCTATTCATGAGGTGCTCCACAGCAACCTTACCCAGTAAAGCTTGGCATTCTCGTTGCTATTCAAGTCTCACATCCCTACACAGCTATACCAGAAAAACTCTTGATCTATAACCCCTCTTGGTGGCTCTAACAATAACTGACCTATGCTGCACACATGGTCTTGTGGGTAGATGTGCGATGAATTATATGGTGGGCTCCTTAAGATGGGAAATTGTGGGAGGGGGGACTCTGAAGAAAACACCAAAACCGTTTTCATTGTCTCTTGTCAACGAGGCCCATCAGCTGGTCACTGAGGTGAATGTGGCTATTAGCATGGGAGTTCTGCTCTTTACTTGTGTCACTTCATCCCAAGAGCAGAAACAGAGAAATTTCAGCAGAGGCTACAAGGAGCAGTTACAGATTTTAGGTGCAGAAGAAGCCTACAGACTTTACTTCATTTTTGTAATTTCCAGAAAAACAGCATGTTGTTTTACTTTGCTAAATTAACTCCCATTCTAACAGTCAGTAGTAGTCAGACAGTGACAGTTTCTGTTTGTGGCTCCACACATCCTATTGTGTGAGGCAATGGTTTCCTAATACAGTGCACCACATGAAGATGCTCATCTTCCCAAAATCTTAACTTGCAATTTATTTCTCCCATGTTATTCTTTACATATGGCTGCCTTGTCATCCAAGGTTTACACAACCACCTTGCTGCTCACACATCATCAAGTCTCCTCAGAAAAGTCATGATCTTTGAGCAAAAGAGGGAACAAAAATTAAGTGCAGTAAAGATCCCTCACTTTGTAACATCCCATTTAAATCCCTTACTAAAGGCAAGTGGGATAATGATTAAAGAGACAAACAGAGGAAGATTGGAGAATTGTGTTTCTAATCCAAGCCTTCAGGTACATTGTTATAGATATTCCATACTGTTAGGTATTGCTCTTTACTCACGTGACTAGGATCAGAATGAAATCTCATGCAGAGATCAGTAATGAGTATAGAGCTTCAAATATCTGACTGGTTGAATCACATAGGGCTATTTCTAGAAAGAGGTTGTAAGTAATTCTACCATGCACACCAAAGCAAAGCTCTCACACAAAGTTCTATGCTAACAGGGTTTAATTCACAAGTATAAAAAGGATAGCACACAACTCTGGAGTCAGAACTGTCCAGAATGTTGAATACGGATGGGCACAAACCAGCTCATGAACTAAAGTTTGTGATGAAGTTTGGTCAGTTCATGGTTTGCAAAGTGAATTTCATGGCAGGTCAACCGACGCAAACTTTCCACAAACTTTTGAGCTGTTCATGATGATTCGTGCCAGTACGTGAATGGATACATTTCCATACAGTCTCCACTCAATCAAAATGTTCGCCAAACATCAAAGTGAGTGAGCGAGGGTGAAATTCTCCAGCTTTGGAAACACTCTGTTCAGTTTCAAACTAGTCATGGCATTTCAAGAGGTTCTTCCCCCCCTTGCTGGAGTTTCTGCCTATTTTGTTGCACAAAGCTTGCAAAAATGTCCCCGCCCATTGCTTGGATTTGTTGTGACTCTGTGTTTTGTGAGCAGTCCTTTTAAGCTTGCTACGCCAGTGGCACTGGGTTCTGTTGGGCATTCTGCACATCGTAACTTCAAGGATTCTCTGGTTTGACATTAGTCCTCCTTTTACTTGCATTGCCACACTCTGGGCACTAGTACATTGCATTGCTGCTCCTGGGCTTGCAAATGCTCCCCCCCCCCGGAGTGTGATTCTGTGCTTCACATCAGTCCTGTTGAGCTGGCATTGCTGCAATGGCACTGGGTTCTGGTGGGGGGATGTGCTAAAAAGAAAGGAAACAACAGGAGAGGTTTGAAAGCCCATTGGACATAATGGGAGTCAGGAATGCAAATTGACTTGCA